ATGCTCAAAACAATTCATCAAAAAATTCCACTGGTAACCACCCCAAATGGCGACGGTCGGACAGAACCTCTTATATAAGGGGTGATTTGCACTTTTTAAGTTAGTTCGAGGGCCGATGTGTAGAGAAAATTAATAATATATATTGTTGAGTATTCCACTAAATTATGTATCTAAAACTGTTCGACGGGTTTTACTTAAGTATTTTTTAATACATTCAATGTCGTTTTGTGATAATGGAAGACTTTTATTGAAAGATTGCGTTTTTGTGATATTTAATCATTCAATTTTAGTGAATTTATATGATAAACAAACATTATGTATGGGGCCCATTTTATGAAGCTCGACTCAGGCCCGAGTTTAGGTAAGACCTGCACTCTGGTATCATTGTATCTTTACAAAAAGAACTCATTTGTATCTTTTTGGGAAGTTTTAAATTATTGTTTTATTCTTTTAATTAATATATATAAATAAGTGATCATACTTTAGAGAATAAAACACAATTTATCCTAATTTTAAATTATATCTTTGTTTTACGTACTATTATCTTGAGCTAGCAATTTCTCAGCCTTCAGAGTTTTTATTTCTGTCACATTACATTGCTTCGTTTGATCATTTCTATATTTTTTTTTAAAGTAGAAGACTTATTTATTACTGCGTATTAATAATGATAACAAGAAATCAGACAAAGTAATATAATAGCTCAAAGCTACACTGAGGTGAGAAATAGAATTGATTAGCCTCTAAAGACCCATCATATTCGCTAACTCCACATTATTGTGGACTACTCTAACAGCGTCGTTGCACTGGCTACTGAAATGGGAAACAACAATACAAGAATTTTTAAAATAAAAACAAAATAATTCAAGTGTCCCGATTTTACCAGCGTCCAGGAAGGGAGAAGAGGTATGTCTATCCACCTCCAAAGGAAGCATCCCGATTTTACCAGCCATCGAGAGGATGTTTGAACAACCACCTCCAAAGAAAACATCTTGTTCAGGGGTGGAGCCAGAGCACTAGACCGGACTGGGCCGATACAAAGAATATTTTTTAAAAACATTTTACATAGAATTTTGTACCTTAAAAATATAGACATTTTTAAAATTCGAGCTGCTTCAAGGTCACTGTTGGCCCCTCCCTAGTCATGCCCCTAATCTCATTTAGGAGACCTATCATTATTTTAGGTGGTGGTGTTCTGGGAGCACCGTTGCCTTTCCGTTTTTTGATCTCTCTCCTTCAGCCTCCATTGACAACCTTTCATAAGTCTGTTCTATGCTCCCCATTAATGACCAATACAATGGATGTCGGATTCGATAAAAAGAAGCATGTCATTTGTATAATATAAGTATACTACAAAATACAAACGGGTTACAAAATGTTAAGAATAATACGGAGTAAATAATAGAGTTTTTTGCTCTAAATAGGATTAAAATGTTACTTAAGTTCCTAAAAGAGAGTAAGTATATTTCTATTCCTTAAATAGGACTATTGTACCGATTTACCCCTCCATTAAATTTAATCGTGCAGCACCCTTCTCTACCTGTTGTTCTGCTCATAAGCCACACGGAGTACATGCATTGGCAAATCTGCAACAGGCTAGTAAGGGATTTCAATGTGGCGAACAGAGGCAAGCAACCGCGAGCGGCGAAGTTGCGGCGGCGAGTGGAAGGCGGTAAAGAGCGGCGACGAGCTGTAGTTCAGATCTGATTGTGGACTTCAAGCTCGTTGTTCTCCATGTCTGTAATTCTTATTTGTCTTCATCAATCCCTCCTCTCTATTTCGTTTCTCTCTTTTCCCTCTTTGTCAGTCCATAATCACTTGGTTTGATTTTTAAAAAAATGTCAAATTTTATTTAAAAATGCCAATAAAATGACATTTTTACTCTCCTAAAATGTCATATGTTCTTCTCAAAATGCCATTAACATGGCATTCCGTATTCATGTTGGCATTTGGATAAAAATGTTGGCATTAGTGGCGGTTACTGCCAAATCTGCGGTGGAGGATGCCAGATCCGCAGAGGAGGAGGTCGAATTTACGGCGACGGCGGCCGGATCAACGGCGGCGGTGGCCTGATCTACGGCAAAGACAGCCAGATATGAAACTGAGGCAGCGAGATGCGCTGCGGCTTCCGGTTCTGTGGCGGCTCCAGCGACCGGCGACAGGTGACACTGACCGGCGGAGGTCCAGTGTTCTGTTTTGCCAAGCTACAGAGTGTTCTGTCCAAGTCCAGAAAATAACTCCTATTTCGGAACATTTTGAATTTTACTCCTACTCTAGCAATTAAAGATTTATTACTCCACTTAGGGAATAATCCCTAAATAATAATGTAACACAACTTTATGTTGAAATTGGCGATAAGAAATAGTTTGTTCGGAGATTGACCTGAGAGCGAGGCAGATATCATTTTCTTAAACTTTCCTATCTACTTTGTAAGCAATTTACAACATCATCTAAGCCTTATTGTCAAAAGAATAAAACACAAAACAGAATCAGCGATGTGAGGTATGTTTATTTTTTGGGAAAAGAGTCAGATAGGTCCTCAAACTTATATAAAAAAGGTCAAATAAGTCCTTATATAGGAGGTTCTGTCCGGCCGTCACCATTTGGGACGCTTCCCGGTGGAATTTTTTTATGAAATTTTTTGAGCATCTTATTCATTAAGTCTAGTTGACTTATACCAAATTTCAGCTAAACTTTCAATCGGGAAGGCATTCAAATTAATTCTTGAAGATAACTGCGCTTTTAACTGCACAATTATCTTCAAGAATTAATTTGAATGCCTACCCGATTGAAGTTTTATCTGAAATTTTGTATGAGTAAACTAGACTTAATGAATATGATGCTCAAAAAAATGCATCAAAAATTTCCACCGGAAACCGCCCCAAATGGCGACGACCAGATATAACCTCCTATATAAGGATTTATTTGACCTTTTTATGCAAGTTCAATGACCTATATGACACTTTTTCCTTATTTTTTTTTGTTGGTTACTTTTATTGTTGTGAGATTTTTGCATTAGGTTTGGGTGGTGGAAGGTCTGCTTTAACTGTCGTTGGCTCATTTATACCCGTTATAGGATCACCGAGTTATATTGTTTTTTTGGAGGTGATTGACTCTAAGGATGTATTTACTTGGCCTGTAATCTGTCCCAGACCAGATCAGATTAGATCATACTTGGATAGTTATATAAATACAAATAAATGAGACCAGACCAGACCAGACCAGTTCAGACCAGACCAGTTCAGACCAGATCAGACTAGACCAGACCAGACCAGACCGGCAAATTATAGTCCAAGTAAATATCCTAAGTCTAGTTTGAGGCTTGCGGTTGCTTGTGGTCCTGTTGTGTTATCCCCTATCTGAATGTTGTGATATCAATTAAAGTCATTCATTTTGACGATAAAAAAAAATATTATAGTATTTGTTCTATGTTATGGCTAACATTCATGAATTGAGATGGAGTTCAAATCTGTGATCTTCTCCTTAGGAGTGTCAATGTGATGCCATCAAATCAAAATGTAATCGGCTATCATGATAAATTTTTATTTTATGATTTATAACAAATTCTTTAGTTTTGAACATGATTTAGGGAGTGCTTGCAATTGCTTTTCCTTTACATAAATGAATTTGTAGAGTGATTTTGGAAAAAATGTTTAATAGTAAAAATTGGTAATATTTGAGAAAATTATTTTTGAAATTTAAAAGTTGGTAATGTTTGATAAAATATGTGCTTTTTGGATGTGTAATAGAAAAAATAAAAAACAGTTTTCAACTTTAAGATTTCAAATGTTTAGTTTAAGTAAGAGTTATCACTTGAAAACACAAAATTTAATTTTGTAAGCCAAAAGTGGAGAAGCTCTTTTTTAAGCGTTTGCAAACATAATTTATTAAATTAAATCTAAGGACCAATCCTCCGCTTGGCCCATTTTCGTTAGGACACACACGACTTTGAAACTGAAGTTACAATAATCTTTCTTTAATTCTTTTATGAAGTGAGGAAAAAGTACAATTTCAAAAAATTCGTATTATAGGGTGAGAAAATTAAGAGTCATAGTAGGATACTAGGAGGGTTGGTGAGGATGATTAATTAAGCATAGTCCAAAGTCTAATCACCCGAGTAAGTCAATTAAAATAAATTTTTATTGTTTCTTTTTTCATGTTTACTTTATTTTCCCACTTTCTCCATTTTCTTCTTCTTATCTTAAAAGAATTATTTACTTATTCTTTTCTCGGTTCTTTATTCGTTTACTTTATCTTTTCCTTTTCAAATTTTCCTTAATTGTCTTCTTCCTTTTCTTCTTGGGGTCTTCAATTGTATTAATTAATGTACAAATCCTTGACAATGCTTTTAAAATTCTTCCAAACTTTTCATTTTCTGCGCGCTTTTTCTCTCCTTCAAATACGGCCAAGGTATATTATAAAATAACGTGGATTTGAATATAATAAAACCTGATTATGGCCTTATGGGGAATGGACATTCAATGTTTAAAACCCAATCTTGGAGAAGCGTATATGCGTATATAGTACAGCCGGCTGTATGGTGAGAACCATACAACCGGTGATATTTTTGTAAATTACATGAAATTCGCGTCTTGTACTAAATGAGCATTAAAACACGTCTAGTGAGCATGGAACATATTTTGTTGAGCATAAGAAGCATTACAATGCGCATCGTGATCTCTGCTTCATCTTTTCTAATTTACTTTCTTTTCCTTATTTTTGTCTTTATAAAAACTTATTAAATTATATATATAATCAACTCTTATGAACTTCAGTATGCGAATTTAATGCAATATGATACTTTTGAAATATGCATTGTTATGCCATTTAGAAATGAGCATAACATGAATACCCGTTGAGCATACATAACTTATAAAGTGAGAATTGATATGAAAATCATAAGTACTTTTAATTGAACATCAAGACATTTTTATTGAGCATCAACTTGAAATTATAAGTACCAATGATTTTCATTATGCGATTGTGATGAGCATCGAGTCTGTTCTTTTTAAATGAGCATAAAATAACATCAAATGAGCATATGTAACTTACAAAATGAGTATCAAAAAATTTGAAAACTCATTTGTGTATGGTCATTCATTTTGGCCTTATACTCATTTGAGTTTAACATTAGTATGATACGTTTGAAATGAGCATGAAGAGGTACCAAATGAGCATACATAACTCACAAATGAGTACAGAACATTCAAAAGATCGTTTGTGAATGCTCATTCATTTTCGGATTTATACTCATTTGAATTTACATAAAACTCCTTTTTAATATGCTCGATATTCATTTGTGTATGTTCATTGTTTTTAAGCTTATACTCATTTGAGTTTAATATAAACTCATTCCAGATTCGTCATTAAGAAATATATGAACTCAAATCTCCTAAATCATCTTCCAATCTGTTGTTGGGGAAAATATCGCCGCCACCTCCTAGTTGTCCAGTTCCGGCCGATAGACACATAGCATTCCGGTGAAATGCTTCTTCTATTCTCTTCGATAATTTGCAGCTACATGAAGACTCCACCAGGCTCCTGTCCGGCTGTCCTCTTTTCTTCTTGCATAGCAGTTTGTTTGATTCTGCAAAGGAAAATAACAACAGATAATATAGCTCAAGATGCGTAAACGCTGTCCTCAGAAAATATTTCCGGCGGACGGTAATCTTTCCCCAGGATATTTATATTTATATTTATATTTATATTTATATTTATATTTATATTTATATTTATATTTATATTTATACACTACACAATCCCGCCGTGTTTAAAGCTTGACGTATTCACATTTAGAAAGCCTTAGTGAAATACTCCGTATATTTTCGGACGTGAGATCCTCTGCTTTGAATAAGATAAGAAACAGAGAAGTTATTTTAGAAGATGAGTTCACTGAGAGCATCTCCAACGGTTAGCTAATTACCCACATAGCTTGGCTAGCAACATAAGCATTTACAGCAAAATTAAAATGTACTCCAATGGTAAGCTATGACATCTTCCTCTTCATTTATTATTAATAGTGTTATATTTAGTACTTCTCTTTGCTCAAGCTAGTAGCTCATTTTGGCTAATTAGCTTTCTCAAGCAAAAGGAGAAGTAACGCTCCAATGGTAAGCTATGAGCTTTAAAATTGGAAGCAAGTCCTCAAGAGGAACCATTGGAGATGCTCTGAGCTATGATAACATATGCCGAGATCACTCATCGGTTTCATATACGTAATAGGAAGTATATTAATAGAAAATGAATTGGAAAGTTATGATGGTTATTATGGATCCTAAATAAGTGGAGATAAAGAAGGTGAGCCAAGTATTTGCTAGAAACGTATGCCCATTTAAAATAATACTTGTTCAACTCATGCAAAACTCCGACGGTTACAAGGAAATGTTATAAAAACATTTAAGTTATTTAATTAAGAAATAAAATGATAGGGCACATGGAAAACCAAAAGTTTTGGTTTACTTGAAATACTAAATGATTTTCCAACATCTGTCTTCCCTGCATACTTCTTCCCGACCAACAAAGAAATCGCCTAGAGCCGCCGTCTCTTACGCAGATCTGCAAGAGGAGAAGAGAGTCGCGAGAAGAGAGCTTGAGGAGAAGATAGCTGCCAGAGGAGTGGTCTGCTTGGTGCGTGAAGTCCTTCGCAAGCAGCGCAGAAGCAGGGGTGAAGATCGGAGAGCAACGCAGAATCAGGGACGAAGATCGGGGAAGCCGAGCGAGAAGCGCAGAAGCCCTAAAAAAGACCGGTTGTACCCTGCGCACGGTACAGCCGGTTGTACGGTGTATTTTACCCAATATTGGTAGGGATCCAAAACCCAAACAAAATAAGAGTACAGGTAACTAGCTAGGTGTGAAACTTGCTTAAGCAAGTTTGTACCCATCTTAAAAGAATTTCCGAGAGAGTAACTTCAAATTAAAATCTTTTCGTGGACCGCACGATTTACTTAGGGTATGTTTGGGAGTTTGGAGGAAAGAAGAGGAGAAGGATTTCAAGGATATTTCTAGGAAGTAAAGGGGAGAGGAGGGGAAGGGGAGGAAGCCTTTCTTATTTGAGAGTTGCACATTTGCATAGAGAGGAGCTAAGGAGGAATTAGAATTAAAATCACTTTAGATATGATGAATCTAAATACTTGAATAATTTTTCTTTTTTATAAATCAAATAACTAATTTATTATTAAACTATAGCAAAGATACAAGAGAATGAATAGTCTAAGGCTACAATCAGATGAGCCATAGAACAAAAAAGATCCAATGAATCATTCCAGATCGCTAACCCCGCAATAATGTAGTCTAGTCTAACAGTCTTGTTGCTCTTCTTGCTACTCCAAAGAGAAAATAAAAAATTACAACTAAAAGATCCGGTTTCACCAGCCACCGGAAAGGAAGAATTGGTTTGACCAGCAACCAACAAAGGAAAATTAGTCGTGCAGAAATTTTCTGAAGCATCAGTTTGACCAGCTACCGAAAAGGAAATCCAATGCTCATCTCATCCTAGAGCGAGGCGGTGGTTCAGGTGGTGGGCGAATATTTAAAGCATCAGAACAACAAGGTTGAAAAAGCTTTACCAACCATGAACAATGAAAATTCACCCGATCGATTACACCGATTAGAAACACACAACCTTAGACATTGCTAGGAGAATAACATACCACACGCTCACATGAAGCGGACAAAATTCTTGGTCAATGAAGAAGCCGGACCAAAATCCTCGAAAATAGATATTTAAAAAGAACAGAAGCATAGAAAAACCTTTGATTCGATCTTTCATTGCATATAGAATGTCACCATCTTCCAATACTTTTTGCTGATTGAAAAAGTAAAGGCTTGAAAATCGGATCTTGAAGGAGGTTGGGGATGGCCGCCTAGGGTCATCTCTATGCTATTAGGTCGTTACAAACCGTATAGTTGAATATATATTCATTTTTAATTAAGTTAAAATTTACTTTTAATTAGTTATCTTCAAAATCCTCCAATTTGGGAGAACTTAAAAATTGAGCATTTGAGTGATTATAAAACCTCTCCCAAACCACTCCAAACTTTCTAAACTCAAAAACAAGATAGGAGAGAGAGGTTATAAACCCTCCTAACTCTTCTCATCCCCTCCTAACTCTTCAAACATTGGGTTTATTAAAAAAAAGGTGACACCCTACCTCTGAGAGCTCTCAACATCAGCCGAAAAGTTAGTTGGGAGGATGTAAATTAGACTTTAATTAATCACAAGCTGACATATAGTGAGTGAGGATCTGGCCTAGATACTTACAGAAGCCCTATGCAATTTTGCATTGTAAGTGGTATTGGCCCCCTCATTAAATGCTTTGACCCATTTTGGGCTGTCTAATCGAGCAGCCCACTTGCCCTTCCCTTGTTTTACCCAGCCCGTGACTCTTCTCCGATATATTGTTAGGTTCCTTCTAGATCAATGTATTTGAACAACCCTCTCCTCTCTTCTCCGATGTGTAGCTTAGCGTGTTACCCTAGTTCTAGGGTAAGAGAGTGCCAGAACTGGACGAGGGTTGGCCTTCAGCCACCCTCCGTCGGTCTCTTGAGATTCCTTTTGTGAGCTTTACTCTTAAACTGGGGGGATGGGGATTTTCCGATGGGTTCATAATTCGTAAATGGGTGTTGTAGGTTGTTGCCCTTTTTTACTCCCCTTTTGACCTCCTGGCGGTTGAATGATGAGCTAACCTCTGTGGACCTGGTGATTGAGGGCTTATCCGGTCTAGAGACACAACATATATAGTTACTTCTCATCGTAGTTGATAGGTTTCGAACCCGAAACTTACCCCTTATGGTACCCCTTATACACCAGTTGAGCTACGCCCACTGACACCACCGATAGGGGTGAGTTCGGTTTAAACGGTTCGCTTTTCACCTAAAACCAAATGTCTAATCAAAGTAAAAAGTTCGGTTCGCACTACAACAAAATTGATCTTTTGTAACACTTTGTTTGTAACATTTATTTATTTTGTTACATATGTCATTTAGATTTAAAATTATGCAACACTTTTTTATAAGTGTTGCTCAAACCTTTGGAGTATGAAATTATGTAACACTTGTTGCAAAGTGTTGCATGTTACTAAATATTATGCAACACTTATATTTTAAGTGTTGCAATTGATAAATAAACAAAATTACGGGTGATTTTTATGTAACAATTCTTAGGAATGTTGCTTTTGTTTAAGTCTTATGCAACATATATCTCTAAAAATAAAAATTAATTAAGTTTTAGTTGTGAATTATTTATTAATCGCACGCTCTTAAAATATAGTCCCGGCCCGCTATTAAAATTTTCATGTTGGCGCCACCGCCAATAATTAACCTCTTTAGCCCAGGAGACAAATATACCAAGTAAAACTCTTGCCCTTTTTCAATTGCGATCAGAATTCTCAATCCTGCGCAGCTCGCTTGCCGGCCTCCTCCTGGCTTTCTCAACGGCAAAAGCTCGCCTCCTTCTGGCTTTTGCGACCACAAACTTGTCTGCTTCTAGATCGCTGAACCACGTTCGCTCCAGAGAACCCACACCGGCAAACTCAACCATCGCCGGCCAGTTCTTCTGATCCGCGGTTCATATTTATCTCAGGCACGCCTTTTACCTCAATCTTGTACTACTTAGTTTTACAATTTATGTTCTTTTTGGATGTTCGTACGAATATAGATCTAACAGATTGCTGAGTAATTGCTTATTTTAGTTTGAATCTGATTAGGAATTTACTTTTCTGGATTTTATAAATTCAGGTGGGGGAGAGCTTGGAAATATGTATGATTATGCGGTTCCCTGCTTTCCTCCTAGGTTTCTCATCAACACTTCTGTTCTGTTTTCCAGCTTCACCATACTTGATATGCTTTATAGAGGTTCTGTTAGCACTATCTAAACTGACACTTTTAAGACTGGACATCATCAAAGAAAGTCAATACATAGGGACATCAGTTAATATTTTGGGACAAAGTCTATTTCATGTGTGTTAAGAAAACGAGGAACACAAGATGTAATCATAAACTACGTAATTATTATAATCTTTGGTTTAGGTTCTCCTTGATATGATTTCAGCAATGAAACCAGGGATAAGGGGTAAATTAGGCTCTAATCGGGATTGAGCAATGCACTAAATGTACTCTACAAACCAAATGTAATATCATTTTAAGCACCTCTTACATGTATGTCATTTAGGAAAATCATTGATACTAAAATTTGAAGTAGCCAAGATGATAAAATTTAACAGATCCTACTGTGTGCATCAGTGCATGTTATAATCCTTCTAACCACATTCTAATGTTAAATAAAAGAATGTTCATCATTTGACCATACAAAAACAATTTTGGTTTCAAGAAACTCACATCCCCCCTCTCCCTGCTTCTGTTCTCTCTGGGCACACTATTGCTTCTATTCGCTCTGGAACACTGAGATTGATATAGCATCTTTTAAAATAAATTGGCATCCAAAATATATTTTAGAACTTCGAATATTTTTCATAAATCTCATACCACACTTTTTATCAGATTCCCTTAGACCTGTTTGCCACAAGTTAATTATGAAATATGAAACGTATTATATATGCTACATTGTTACAAAAGAACTAAGCCAAAAGTTAAGAGATTTACCTTTCTTGCAATCATATAGGATCTGCTCTGATGCCATTAAAATTAGATTGACTGGCCAGATTGAAAGTTACTTGTGCTTCCAAGAATTGACCTGAAATGCTGAATTCAATTAAAAATCAGATTTTTTTAATTTTTTTAAAGCGGTTACTTGTGAGTTCTCTATGGGTTATCCGAAAACAGTCTCTCTGTGCTTTAGTACAGGGGTAAGACTGCGTACATCCGACCCCCCTTACCCCAACGTAGGTGGGAGCCTTTGTGGCTCTGGGGTAAATGAAAATGATGATGAGTTACTTGTGAGTTCTATTTAATGCTTTCCTTATTTTGATTCACAGGGTATATGCTCGGAAGTCAGGAAAAGAATTTCAATCATGAATCATCTATGAATGATGGCCCGAGTAAATTACAAAAAAGCAGTTTACAAGGCACAAAAGTGCAACTCTTTAAATCTGCAATACTCTTGATCCTTGACAGCCAAATTGATACTTTAACTTTTAAAACTGTAATTAGTCTAAGTAAATAGCGAAAATTTGATTCACGTACCTATTATATACGGAAAATCTACAATAACTTTTTTCCTATTAGTTTTGGTAGCTAATAAAAATGCAGTTATAATATACAAAATATGAAAGATTAAAGATGCAAATTGAGACACTAAAATGAAGAAAATTAAAATGACCAAAGCAAAGAAAGCGTCTCTTGTGGGCATTTTCCCAAACATGTACAACCTATCAAACCAAGCTGTTGAAAGTAAATTGTCTACTTTCATTAATGTTTCATTTATTCGTTAGTTTATAAGATTCATTATTTAGGACTATTAGATACACCATTGCGCTAACACTAAGCCTGGGAGATTTGAATATCAACTCTCACCTTTCATTCACACAGTCATATGAATTAATGGAAATTGTCTACATGTGTTAATTAATGTGGAAACTTGATATATAATGAAAGTAAAATCTGATAAAAACCAGATAGATTCTACTCCAAACCCGGTTTTATGATAGAAACTCAGAGAATATTGTAGAATTAACATGAATAAAAGTCAAAAAGAAGGTGCAAATTTGAGAAATGTTAATGACTTATGGCAAAAAGAGGAGCACAATTGGGAAATTTACAACGACACTACACTTCATCGCAACAAATCTATAATTGCAACACCTGGGATACACTCATACGCTTCCCTAACTGCCACTGCGGAGGGGCGTAGGGGCGTAGGGGCGGAGGGCCTGCCAACATCGCGAGATGAATACACTACAACAAAATTGATCTTTTGTAACACTTTGTTTGTAACATTTATTTATTTTGTTACATATGTCATTTAGATTTAAAATTATGCAACACTTTTTTATAAGTGTTGCTCAAACCTTTGGAGTATGAAATTATGTAACACTTGTTGCAAAGTGTTGCATGTTACTAAATATTATGCAACACTTATATTTTAAGTGTTGCAATTGATAAATAAACAAAATTACGGGTGATTTTTATGTAACAATTCTTAGGAATGTTGCTTTTGTTTAAGTCTTATGCAACATATATCTCTAAAAATAAAAATTAATTAAGTTTTAGTTGTGAATTATTTATTAATCGCACGCTCTTAAAATATAGTCCCGGCCCGCTATTAAAATTTTCATGTTGGCGCCACCGCCAATAATTAACCTCTTTAGCCCAGGAGACAAATATACCAAGTAAAACTCTTGCCCTTTTTCAATTGCGATCAGAATTCTCAATCCTGCGCAGCTCGCTTGCCGGCCTCCTCCTGGCTTTCTCAACGGCAAAAGCTCGCCTCCTTCTGGCTTTTGCGACCACAAACTTGTCTGCTTCTAGATCGCTGAACCACGTTCGCTCCAGAGAACCCACACCGGCAAACTCAACCATCGCCGGCCAGTTCTTCTGATCCGCGGTTCATATTTATCTCAGGCACGCCTTTTACCTCAATCTTGTACTACTTAGTTTTACAATTTATGTTCTTTTTGGATGTTCGTACGAATATAGATCTAACAGATTGCTGAGTAATTGCTTATTTTAGTTTGAATCTGATTAGGAATTTACTTTTCTGAAATTGAGATTTATTTTTCTGTAGTGGTTTATGTTCTTACTGGTAATTTCGTTTAGTTTTATGAATTAGTCATAAAAACTTTACTTTCACTAGACTGATTAAAACGAAGTGGTACTTTCATTAGTTTATTAAAACGAAGTGGTTTATTAGTCTATATGTTCTTACTAAGTGGTTTATTAGAATATAATAAACTTATGATTAGGCATAAAAACTTTTCTGAATATAATCTAATAAAAAATGGCTTAACTTTTTTTCCTGGTAAAACGAATTTAGTTTTTTTTTTGGATTGTGAATATCATAATATTGGACTTTGACTACTTCCGTTATTTTTTATAATTTGAATATGAAAAGGAAAGGTCTAAATTAAACTAACTTGGATAAAGATTTATTTAAATTACAAACCATTACAAGCAATTAGTTCAGATAAGAACAAGAAAGGATTTTGAAACATGATGTACATGAGATGGATGGACGACATGAGGATGAGCCAATTGAGCCTAAGATTGAGGAAGGAATTGAGGCACAGGGGGATGCTAGTAATTAGGACCTATCAGATGCCATAATACGTGAGGGTGAAGATAAAGTAATGGTTTTTAAGTTTCTGTAGTGCCAGATAAAATTATGAGGCATTATTGATCCTGTTGTAGTATCAATTGTCTTGTGCTTGTGGAACAATAATTAGTTTCAATCTTTCTGCTCTCTTTATCATGGTGATTGCTTGATTTTCATAGAGTAGTTAGTTTGTCATATATATAGGTTTACTTACATCAGTTTGTATATATAAACTACTTACATAGAGTAGTTAAAACTATTTGCTCCTTATAATAGAGTAGTTAACTAATGTCATATAGAGTTTCTATATGACATTAGTTGATTCACAAATAAAACTCCTTCTGTAAAACTCTTGTTACATAGAGTTATAACTACTTAGGTTTTAACTACTTAACAAAGAAAAAAACTACTTACATAAGTTATAACTACTTAAGAGTAGTAAAGGCTTTCTTTTTCTTTGTCACAGTCAAAATATGTTTTTTTTTGTGATTTGCTCCTTATAACACTTTTTACCAGTGAAGTAGACAAGCAGTGTATGGTGTCATAATGTAAAGTGGTGTGTTCTGATTTTTATTATTATTCATATTAAATGATGAGCAGTTTGATGAGTTTTTGAATATGAGTTTTGTCCTTGTAAAAAGTGCTTGGGTCTTACTTTTAAAAAAGAGAACACAAGGCGCGATTAGGCGCAAGGCGCATAGACGAATGGTTTAGCCGCCCTAATGGTTCTTGTAAATTTGACAACTGTTCTTTTGTCTATGCTAAAGATGTGTGTGTGTGTGTAGTGAAATCAACAGAAAAACAAAAATCATTTATATAACATCCTTTTCAGAAAAGCCCAACTTTTGTTAGTTATTTCTTTTTAACTTCCTCTGCCAGAGGATCCGCATTTAATTAATTTATTCTAGCAAAGCTCGAATTTTGTTTGACTTGACCATGTTTTATTTATTTATTTCTTTTCAATGAAGTCTAAGGTAATGGAGAGAGATAGAACTTGGATGTATACTCATAGACTTTCACTCGAATTCAAGAATGGTTTGACTAGTTTCCTTGATAAAGCTTTTGCTAAAGGAATTGATCATGGGGGTCAAATTCTTTGCCCATGCAAAGAATGTAAAAATCGTTATTGGTATCGTAGAGATGAAATTTGGAATCATGTAATAGCAAAGGGATTTGTGGAGAATTATTTTAAGTGGAACTTTCATGGAGAGGGACCTATGTCAGCTGATCACAAGGGTTATGAAAACGATACAGTTGAATATGACAATATTGATGATCTTTTAGGTGATAGATTTCGAGGAATTCATGACGGTGAGAATCAAAGCGGGATTAATGACGATGCAAAGAGATTTTATAGTTTATTGGAGGAGGGAAAGAAAGAATTATATCCTGAATGTAAAAACTTTACCGTTCTTTCTTTCACAATCCGACTCTTAATTAGATTATTATGAAAAGAAAGTTCGTATTTGAGATTAATTATGAGAAAGTTTCTAATTAATTAAATATCATAACATTTAAGGCTACATATAACTAACTTTTTTACCTGTCTATATAGTCCAAATATGATGTTGCCCTGAAGGGAAAAAAGTGGGTATTAAGTACAATTGGGTCAGCCTGGAGAGTTCACAAGTGTCGATTCAAGACAAGGCTTTGCTTACAATACAAGGATAATAAGAGCAGATGGCGTAACCGGCCAAAAGACATTCCTGAAAAAGATTTCCGAATGCTCTTAAAGTTGTGGAATTGTAAAGATTACCAGGTACATTAAATAAAAAATTAGTGTGTTTCTATTTTTTATTTTATTATTTCACGTTTGTACTAAAGGTATGCGACATTCAATGTAGCAAAAATGTAATCGTAACAAGGGTAATCGCGCTCTTCGAAAGGATAACCCCACGACGGGTCGCAAGTCTTATGCTAGAGTTCGTGCAAAATTGGTACCATACATATTCTGTGTAACAACTTTTTATTGTTTGTTAATTGTAGAATGTTTATAAATGATTTTTTTATTTATCACAGCAAACTACTCTTCCAAATAGTGTTGACATACCGTTATCAACTATGTATGAAGCCACACGCAAAAGAACTGAGGGACGTCAATATAAAGGATCATATGAAGATACTGCTGCAAAAATTGTGAGCCTTGCATTGTCATATTATATTATCTCTTAATTATTTCAGTGATTTATTACCCATCACTAATTTATTTGACATCTAGAATGTTTATTTTTAATGGTGCTTACATCTTAAAATTTCTTTGTACAATGTGTGTTTTCTGTTGGAAATTTTTGTATGTAAGAGATGTTTGGAAGACTAGGCAATCATTAAAATTCATCAAAATATATCAATAAAGAATATTTCATCACCCTTTAAAGTAAAGTGACTTGACTGATTTTGTTCCTGCATCAAAGTAGTTTTTGTTCATGCATCATATTTTTTTTAATGAAAAATAAAGTCTTTCCGAGTAAACTCAAAATGATTAGTACAAGCAAGGAAGAAAGGGGCATGTATTAGTCTTAGTTAGAAAAATCAACTCTGTTTCTTGCACAAAATCATCTCAGGTTCAATCTATATCAATCTTAGTATGGACTTTTGAGTTAATCCATTTGACTTGTGATGCTCCTGCAAATTGAGTGTATTGAGTGTAAATTTATGGAGCAGTTTGCTATTTGTTTTGTGTAAAATTATATACTTACAGAGCTTATTTTTTGTTATACGGAGTACTTTAGTTTATTGTTTCTTTTCTGTGGTACTCACACACTTAAGAGCAATTTATTTTGCTTATATGTTAGATAATTTTTTTTGTTTCAAGTACAATAATTTGAGTAAAAATCTATGGAACAGTACGTTGATAATGATTTTTGGTGGTATACTTTATCATAATGTCATTTGCAGATTTGAGATGTAGATTTATGAGGCAAATAACTGGAATGTTTAATTATTATCATTATATGTCATTTACAGATTGAAATGAAAAATTATGAGGAAGACAATAATGAAGAAGGTGAAGCTGCAGTTGATGGGTATGATGTTGTTGTGTCAAAGGAGAAAAGTGGTGGTCCAATAATGTGTGGAAGAGGTGTTACCAAGAAAGACCTTGCTAATACAAAAGAGACCGTGCATCAGTCGCATGTCATGACTTCTAATGATATGGAGACAATCATGAGCACTTTGAGAAAGGAGATTGAAGAGAAAAATGAGAAAAAGGATGCTGAGCTAGAACAAATGCGAAAGGAGCGTGAAGTTGAGAAACAGAAGATGGATTTGATTCTAGCAAAACTGTCTGCCATGATTCCAAATTTTGATGTCAACTCGCTTGGAGTATAGAGTCTGAGATATTTAATTAGCTAGTTTTTAAAGGATTAATCGGTTGATGTTATTATCGATTTTGATATATTACAGTACTATTTATTTCAAATTGTGCAACGTTGATTATATTGTTATCCATTTGAGTTTCTCTTTGACACATAAGATATGTAATGAATATTGTCTTGATTGGATAATATAATATTGTGATGCTTTTAACATTTTCATTGATATGTATTTATGCCTATAACTATATACGTATATATATACTATGTATTACATATTCTTAGAAAAGTGTTACCTATAACTTAATAAAAGTGTTGCAATTTCGAGAAACTTGTTGCATAAAATAGTGATACACATGTTACATAATCTAAATTTATGTTGCAAGAAGTCATAGTATTAGTGTTGCATTTTATTCAAAAAAGTGTTGCGTAAGATGGTGGTTAATCTCTCGTCTGAAAGTGTTGCATTAGAGTAAAATATGTAACATTTTTATTAAATGTTGCATAATATAGTGAAAAGTGTTGCATATGACTTTATGCAACGAGACCTGAAGTAACGCTCATAAAAGTGTTACTTAAACCTTTTGTAACATTTTAACTATGTAATGCAACATTTTGCTGGTGTTACAAAAGGCCTATTTTGTTGTAGTGTCGGTTCGGTTCGGTTTTATGTTCAAAAATTTGGCACCACGGTTTGTTCGGTTCGATTTTTTCGGTTTTTACCAAAATATTTTTGTTCATTAAAAAAATAGTAATTCGAAAAACAAACTATATCAAACTAGTATTAATAGTAGTTAGGAATAATTACATATATATGACTAAAATAAAGATTGTTTACAAAAATGTGGCTGATGACTAGAGTAGTAATGAAATTGTAGTAACTTATGTTCAGTTTTTAAACTTAAGTTACCATGACACTACATTGTAGTAACTATTTGTCATATTTTTGTAAATAAGTTTTATTTTAGTAATATTTTTGAAAAAACTCGAGTTAGTTATACAATACAAAAACATACATAATTTTTTTTAAAAAAAAAAAGAGAAGAAACAAATGCACTTCCAATAAATGAATTAGAGAGTACATATATACAAATTTAAACATTTTCTAAATTAATTAAATGCGCGAGTTTATTTGTGAATAATATACAGTGTATTCGCAAATTAAAATTTTATTAGTAAATAACTAATTCTACTTTCTTTTTAGATAAAGATATTTACGGTATGGTTTATATTAATACATATTTCTTCAATATAAAAAAAACTATGAGATGACAAACATATATACATAACATATAATATATCAACAAAAAATCATTGTCATGCAACAAGAAGCAAAATGTAAATTACGATTTAAAATATCAACAAATTAGTATTATGGCAATAGACTTAAGTGTATGTACAATTGTTTCACTTAAATAAACCATAAATATGAAAGGTCAATATCTTGCAAATCATAATAAATCTAGTATCAAACATTAATTTTCTAGAATTAAGAATTTATAACTAAACAAAATGTTATACTTAATGATTAATAAAAAAATAACTAGTTTTAAAAAGTCCGGTTCGGTTTTGAGATGTGAAAACCAAAACTGAAACCAAACAACTACGGTTCGGTTCGGTTTTTTGAGTTCAGTTTCGGTTTTCTTGCGGTTCGGTTGTTTTGGTTGCGGTTCAAGTTTTTTCGATTCGGTTTTCGGTTTTCGGTTTCTCCAACCCACCCCTAACCACCGAACTTATTAGTCTCTATGTCTAGTTCCATAATCTTATCAGTCCTAATATTATTATATGAAGGATGTGAGAAGACCAACGACGGAGAACAACCGTAGGCGCAAGAGCAATTAGGGACTAAAATACATATACAATAGTAACAAATAACAATAGTATTACTAGTATTTGAGCTCGTTTCGTAACACTGAAGTTGGCTGAATTGGTTGATTTCGCTGAAATATATGAATTTCTGGCTGAAGTGGTTATATTGGTAGATTTGGCTGATTTATGGGGGGAACCAAATACTTTTCATTATTAAAATAAAAAAATAAATATATGAAAAATAGCTAAAATAGCCGGAAAAATAACTCCAACCTTACTTATTTTAATTATTACAATATTCAGCACGCGAAATCAAAAGTAAAAAAAGTTGACTGATAAGCTGAAAAAGAAGTTACCAAATGTGCTCTTCGGCATGAGAGCCTATATTGTACAACCGGATGTATGTACATCCGGCCCAAGTAATGAAAACAGCCCAATAACCAGTACAGGCCATTTTTTCGGTGGCATTTTTGTAATTTAAGCGAAAAATCATGGCTTACGCTAAATGAGCAATATTGTACTTTTGGTGAGCATCTGACCTATTTTAGTGAGTATTAAGAGGCTAACAATGAGTATAACGATTTTTGCTTCATATCTTTTTTTTTCTTTTTCTATTTTTGTCTTTTATAAAAACTTATTAAATTATATCTATTATCTACTCCTATTAATTTAAATATGTGATTCTATTGATATGACATTTAAAAAATGAGCATAACATCAGTACCAAATGAACATTCACAACTTACGAAGTGCACATTGATATGAAAATCATAAGGTTTGTTAGTTGAACATCACAACATTTTAACTGAGCATCAAACCTCCGTTATTGAGATGATAATCATGGTTGCTGGTGAATGAGCATTAATGAACTTTTAATGAACATCAGAATAATTATGTTGAGTATTAGGAATCTAATATTAGGAATCGCGATCTCTGCTTCATAACTTCTAATTCAGAGATTTTTTCCAAATTAATGTTGAATATAAAAATATTTATCAAATTGATGTTAAGTTAAAACTATTTCCGAATCTACTGCCCGTGCTAACTAAGGTTAACGATATCTACTCATCCGCTTCCTACACGTACGAACTATGAAGAACGGAAGAAGAAGCATAGAGGCAGCAAAAATGGGAGAAGAGGCATTGGTGGGACCCAACAAAATAGAAAATCCCATTTTTTAAAAAAATGTTATAACTTTTTTATTTGTTCTCCGATTGTCACGAAAAATATGTCAAAATTCATAATTTTTTATTGGCTTTCATAAAACACCCATATCATATATATAAAAAATTAAAAAAAAAGATTTAAAACGAGTTGTTTTTGAAAATGTTATAGTTTTTTTATTTGTACTCCGATTATTTTAAAAGATTTATCGAAATTTATAACATTTTATTATATTTTATATGACACTAATATTTCATAGGTAGGAATATAAAAAATAGCAATTTCAAAAATCTATTTTTTATAGTGTTGTACCTTTTTTTTGTATTCTGATGGTCTAAGAAAATATATCGAAATGTATAAATTCTTATTGCTCCCTCTGTATTAGTTTATCTGTCTCATGCACTTTTGTTTTTGGTACACATCAAATTTATTGTCTCATTTCTTTTTTGAAAATAATCACATAAAAGAATCTACAGTATCAATAGAGTAGCGCCACATTCCCAATTTGTAAAGTGTTATAACAATTTATTTGTACTCTAACTGTTACAAGTAATATATAAAAATTCAAATTTTTTTGTTACGTTTCATATGAAACCAATATTGCATGGTTGAACTTTTTGTACTCCAATGCATTGTACCTGATCGGTTTGAACTTGCAAGTGTACAAGTCCCGATATAGTAATAAATTCCGGTAGAATATCGGGTCGAATCAGCAGGGAAACGTTGTTTAATTCAAGTCCGAGAGTAGATGACTTTAAAGAGAGAAATAAGTAAGATGCAGGGATTTTGATTTGTGTGTTGTTGTGAAAACAACAACTTGGTTCTTCTCTTTAATTTTCAGGAATATAACTTTAATTAATTTGAATTTAAGATGAATGATAACAACAACTAAGGCTTCGGGAATCACTTAAATGCTTTAATAGGGTTGAATATTAGTTCTTTGCCATTATTTATGAATACGATGTCGCTAATATATTCTCAACTCCGATTAAGGCAGCGAGAGTGTGATTTTCGTTACGTGTAAGTCCCGTTACGGCTTACATTCATCTACCGAAAACCTCGTTGAATATCAAGACATCACACCCGTATCATATAATACCGAATATATTTCTATTCTCGGTAATATATATGTTTATCCTTTAATGTTCATAGTTTAGACTTCAACGTTAATTGCAAGCATAAACTAAATTTAACATACTTCTATGTTGTACACCATAGTCATAAACAATCAAAATGTAAAGGATAAATCGCAATTTATTGGTTTAGAACTTTTATCAAACACCTAGTGGGCATAGAAGGTCATCCCTAGCCTTAGCCAAGAAATTAGCCTCTAATGCTCATATTAATCACAATACAATATTGAAATGTAATGGAACATGAAATTACAAAGCAAATAATACCTAAACACTAATGGTTTCGGAGGTTGAAGTTTCCTCCTCAAGAACTTGAAGAACAATAGCAAAACAAAGTATGAAAACTAGGAATTAAAGTATGGGAATGGGATGTTATTACTTGATGAATTAAGGGCTTTATATAGGCTAAAGAATGGCATCTTTTAGTCTATTCAAGCCTAACAATCGGGGATGGAAGCAATATTTGATCAGATATGGAGGAAGATGGGGTTTTCCCATCAGAAATCTTCTGCACGTTGGACTGTTTTAGCAGAAAATCGGACTAACCGGCGCCGGTTATAGCATGTCCGGCGCCGGTCAGGTGCAAAAATGCACCGGTCGTTCTGTGCCGGTTGGAAACAGGCGTCAATTGAGAAAAAATCCCAACGACCAGTGCCAGATGTGTGATGACCGGCGCCGGTTCCTGCGCCCAATTTTGTACTTCGTTTCTTTTTCTCATTTGATGCCTGAAATAGATCCAGAAGTGCCGGTTTTCGACCCCTTTTGACTTTTGACCCTATTTTTGTTTTTCCAAGCTGTATTTCATGTTTTCGCTCACTCGGGAATATTTACCCGTTTTTGCTTCATATTTTTGTACTGATAA